CCGCCGCGGCCTCCGTGAGGAGAGCCCGCTCCACCTCCGGCGGTTCCCCGGCCTGCCCCGCGGTTGGCGGGTTTGGGGCGGCGGGGCCGGGGCGGGGGGGGGCGGCGTTCGAAGCCACGGCGGCCCCCGCTCCCCATCATCATCCTCATCTTCATCTTCATCGTTATCATCCTCGTCCCCCCCGCCGCTGCTGCCGCCGCTGCTGCTCCTCCTGGCGCTGCCCGGCGGCGGGGGCGCGGTACCGGCGGCGGCGGGAGGGGACAGCGTGATCCTGGGGATGCGGCTGGAAGAGAGCACCAAACCGGGAGCGGGGGGTTCGGTGCCCACCCGGGGGCCCATCTGGGTGACGGAAGGCAGCGAGGTGTTGTTGCGCCTCTACGGGTTGGGGTTGGGGCCCCGTACGGCCGAACGGGTGGCTTTCGCCGAGCTCCGGCCGGTGGCCACCACCGACGACAACCTCAACGCCTCCTCGGTGGCCAACGGCACCTGCCCCGAACGTTCTCAGGATCTCCTGGTTCAACCCGGCCCCGCCGAGGCCCGCGACACCTCAGCGTTGTTGAGGGTGAGGGTCCAACCTCTACGGAAAGACGAACAAACCAAGACCTACGTCCTCTGCACCCAACGGAGACCCGGCCAACCTTGGGTCCTCCACACCGGGGCCGACGGGAGGATCGTGGTCTTGGAGGAGAAGAAGTCTCTCCTGCCCCTCTGGCTCCAGGTGATCCTCATCGTCGGGTTGTTGGTCCTCTCGGGGATGTTCAGCGGGCTCAACTTGGGCTTGATGGCCTTGGACCCCATGGAGTTGCGCATCGTGCAGAACTGCGGCACCGAGAAGGAGAAACGTTACGCCCGTAAGATCGAGCCCATCCGTCGGAAGGGGAATTACCTCCTCTGTTCCCTCCTGCTGGGCAACGTCTTGGTCAACACCACCCTCACCATCCTCCTGGACGATCTCATCGGCTCCGGCATCGGGGCGGTGGTGGCTTCCACCATCGGCATCGTCATCTTCGGGGAGATCGTGCCCCAAGCATTGTGTTCCCGCCACGGCTTGGCCGTAGGGGCCAACACCATCGTGGTCACCAAGTTCTTCATGTTGGTGACGTTCCCCCTCTCCTACCCCATCAGCAAGCTCCTGGACTGGATCCTGGGCCAGGAGATCGGCACCGTCTACAACCGGGAGAAGCTGGTGGAGATGTTGAAGGTGACGGAACCCTACAACGACCTGGTGAGGGAAGAGCTCAACATGATCCAGGGGGCCTTGGAGCTGCGCACCAAGACGGTGGAGGACGTGATGACCCCCTTGCAGAACTGCTTCATGATCAACAGCGACGCCATCCTGGACTTCAACACCATGTCAGAGATCATGGAGAGCGGCTACACCCGCATCCCCGTCTACGAGGATGAGCGCTCCAACATCATGGACATCCTCTATGTCAAGGACCTGGCCTTCGTCGACCCCGACGACTGCACCCCCCTCAAGACCATCACCAAGTTCTACAACCACCCCGTCCACGTCGTCTTCCACGACACCAAGCTGGACGCCATGCTGGAGGAGTTCAAAAAAGGTGAGGGGGGGGTCGGGGGTGGGTGTTTTCTGCCCCTCGGAGGGGGCTGGAAGCAAAAATATGGGGAGTTTTACCTTCTGGGGTTGGAGTTGACTTCACTTGGGGCTTCCTGGGGTCTACCAGGATTTGGGGGAGAGGGGTCACGATGAGGAGGGGAGGTGGAACTGGGGGGGGGCAGCTCCTTGGTGCCCCCCAACCCCTCGGGCGTCGGGGGTTTGGTGCGTAACGGGGTTGGGCCGGGGAGGGAAACCCTGGGCTTCACCGGTGGTGGAGATGGTGGTGACGGTGGTGACGGAGCAACCAAGCCCCGGGGGAAACACTTTGGGAGTGTTTACTTTCCTCTTTCTTTTCTTTTTTTTTTTATTTTTAATTACTGGCCCCGGAGGCTCTTGAATAAGCTGCTGGGAGACCTTGTGGCTCCCTCTTCCTGGGCCTCTTGGGTGCTCCTGGGGCACCAAAAACCCAGGGGGAGAAGGAGGAGGAGGACCAGGAAGGGCCACCTTAGCTCCCAAGAAGGATTTCCCCCCCAGGAAAAGGATTTCCCCCCCAGAAAAAGGATTTCCCCCCCCGTGTTGTCCCCACTCAGGGGACCCCCCAGAGCAGGAGACCCTCCTGCCCTCCCCACAGCTCCTACTGGTGTGGGACTGGTCACCAGTGTCCAGGAGGGGATGAAATGAAGCTCCTGGGTGATTCCAGGCCATCCCAGCTCCGTGCCTGACCCCACGTTCTCCTCCAGCCCCCCCTGGGCCCCCCCGGGCCGAGGCGTCACCAGAAACGGGGCAATTTGCCGCCGTTTCAGAGCGTGGGTTTGGTTTTTTGGGGTGTTTATTTCTTTTTTGGCTGAGATTGTGGAGATTTAATAACTCCTCCTCGCCCTGAGCTTGGTTTGGGAGCTGGTGGGTCCGAGCTTGGCTGATTTTTTGGGGGGGGGGATGGGGGGGTAGGTGGGACACGGTGGCTCTGCTCCCCTAAAATCTCACCCCATCTTTCTTCTGGTTCCCCCCCCCCCCCCCCGCCCCGAGGAGGGGGCTGGCGGTTACGATGCCGAGGAGGGGGATGGCAGCGTTTTGGGGGCTGCCCTCCCCAGTGGGCACCCCAAAAACCCTCCTGGGGGCAAAGAGCATCTCCCCCCGCTTTGAGAATGCCCCCGGCCCTCCCGTTGGACCCCCCCCAGCCCCAAAAAAAACCCCAAAACCCCCTTGATTCCGGAGCGGAGCGGCCGGAACTAGAGTTATCCCGGCTGCTGGCACCGGCTTTTCCCTCCCAGGAATCCTTATTAAAGGATTTAAAACACGCTGGTTCCGGTTACAAAGCCTCCCGTGGCCTGTCGGGGGGTTATTTTAATTTTTTCATCATGGGGGGGAGGAATTTGGGGGGCTGTTTTTTGTGGTTCCTCCCTTGGGAGGAGGCTGCAGCACCCCCCTGCTTGGGGGGAGACGTGGGGTGGAAGGAGGAGATGAAAAAAAAGGATAAAGAAGTGGGGGGGGGGGAAGGGAAAATCAAGCTTTTGATCGTCTGGGGGGTGTTGGGTGTGGGGGGGGGGGGGGGGGGGGGGGTAGGTGGGACACGGTGGCTCTGCTCCCCTAAAATCTCACCCCGGGGAGCAGACCCCCCCCACCCCCGAGGAGGGGGCTGGCGGTTACGACGCCGAGGAGGGGGATGGCAGCGTTTTGGGGGCTGCCCTCCCCAGTGGGCACCCCAAAACCCCTCCTGGGGGCAAAGAGCATCTCCCCCCGCTTTGAGAATGCACCTGGCCGTCCCGTTGGACCCCCCCCAGCCCCAAAAAAAACCCCAAAACCCCCTTGATTCCGGAGCGGAGCGGCCGGAACTAGAGTTATCCCGGCTGCTGGCACCGGCTTTTCCCTCCCAGGAATCCTTATTAAAGGATTTAAAACACGCTGGTTCCGGTTACAAAGCCTCCCGTGGCCTGTCGGGGGGTTATTTTAATTTTTTCATCATGGGGGGGAGGAATTTGGGGGGCTGTTTTTTGTGGTTCCTCCCTTGGGAGGAGGCTGCAGCACCCCCCTGCTTGGGGGGAGACGTGGGGTGGAAGGAGGAGATGAAAAAAAAGGATAAAGAAGTGGGGGGGGGGGAAGGGAAAATCAAGCTTTTGATCGTCCTAATCGCAGGGCTTGGCAGAGGGACCTCTCCCCCCACCTCAAAACCTCCCCCCCAGGTGCCACCAAGGTGTCCCTGGGGGGGTGACAGCTCCCGGAGTGACACCCCGGGCTCAGCACGGCGCCTTTTTCCCCTTTTTCCCATTATTTCTCCTTTTTCCTCACTCTAACATCAAGCCTTGAGTGGGGAACCTCCCCCCTCCCCACATGAGGGACTGGGGGTGTTGCTCTCCCTCCCCAAGGGGGGGTCCATGGGGGGGTGGGGGGTGACACCGTGGCTCGGGGCTCCCCCCACCCCGTGTTTTGTGTTTGCTCCCCATCCTGACTCATCCTCACCGTGGTGGGGGGGGGGGGGGAAAAAGGGGTCTTC